TATTTATTTAACAAAATATGTGATTTGAAGTTAAATATTCAGTTGACTTAAGAAATATTTATCTTTCTAATGAAATATTTAGTTTGAAACTATGACATTTATAAATTAATAAGTAAATCATTTTTTTAAAGTCATTTATGACTTTTAAAAAATGATTCACGTTCTCCTGCTTCATTTCCAGTTGGGTCAACATTTCTGACATTCGGAAAACATCCAGAATATCACCAGAAAACAAGTTAAATCCTTCAAAAAAAAAAAGTGCACATTCTCATTCATTCTTGTTTACCACACAAATAAAGGATAAATGACCAATCTGGTGAAGATACCTACCTTCATCTGCAGCAGAGCCACTTTCTCTGGGAAGAAGTGAATCACATACTGCTTCCCAAACGCTGAGGACAGCAGGAAGCAGAACGTGGAGCCGAAAGTGGCGAGCAGGCAGGTCAGTATCAGACCCACCCAGGGTCCGAAAATCGCTCCCCCCAACATGTTCTGAAACAGGACAGATTACATGGAGGGAAGTGTTTGTTTCTCTGCTTTCTGTTCAGTTTCTGTCAGTGTGTGGCTCACCAGGAAAGAGGAGCCAGGTATGGCGAAGGACTGCTTATAGAGGTAGGCGCTACAGAACAGCAGCAGAACGTAGCTGTAGTTCTCCGTTTTGTAAAACTTGAGCATATTGGCCAGTTCCCGTAGTGACTCCAGGTCTGATGGGAACTTCAGCCTGGACAGAAAACCAGAGGAACACACCATAGTACACTTATGTGAGTTTTTTAATTTGCTACTAAAATCAAGTTGTGATATGACTGATGGAACACAATAACAATTAACCTAAAGCACAGCAAAGAAATTTGACAACAGATTGACTGAAAAAGAGAACAAAATGGCCCATTCAATGGTCCAATCTTAACCCGATTCAAATGGAAAATCATATTGACTGTGCAGTACTTTCAAGAACCTTTGCATTTATTCCCCAAAATTTTGGGTTGGTTTGAAAATGTTCCTGCATGTTTTAGCATAAACGTGTTATGCTAAACGTTTATGGTAACTGTTCAGCATAATATTTTCTATTCGTGACTGAAAATCTAAATGTAATGTCACCAATTTAGAGCAGGGAGACACTTCTACAAAGCAAAAGTATTGGTTTATCTTAACATACCTGATGGTCAATCTGGAAACTTCACCCGTCTCTAAATTAGTCACTTTGCTATGGTGCATTTGTAACCTGGTTGTATTTTTCTTTTGTTATAATTACACAAAATGTCTTTTTTGTTTGGTTATTCGTATTGTTACTTACCTGACTAAAACACCTCTAAAAACTCTGTCATTGTTTTAACCGTGTTACTTTAGGATTGGAAGCCCCTCCTTTTTGTTTTTTCTTCTGTGGTTTTGTCTTTAAATTGTTTGCACCCTTTACACACATGGGCATATAGACATGAACACTTCGATGCTTCATTGAGCAGGTTGGTACGTTTGCTGCGATACGTCACAGTGTCCGTCATATTTAATGTGACATATCTGCCAGTAAGCTAATACAAGTGAATGGACTGAACTTCACAAAGTGCCGTTCTAAAATACCTGTCACTGACACATTCTCTCACACACACTAATATATGTACTAGTCAAAGAAAGCACTAAAGAGTGCAGCAACAGTGTTTCTAACTTTTGATGTGATTATTTAATTGCTATGGGAAATTTACACCCTCCCCTTTTGTCATGTTGTCCTGTGGGAGAGGTGTGTGGTGTTTATTTTTCATCTAAATACATCGAGTTTATTTATAGATCTACTAAGTTAGTTTTTGTTATCACTATTGTAATATATTAATCCATTCTGTAATGTAAATATTTAAGTGAAGCTAAAATCACAAATTAGCAGGAATTAACTTTAGTTCTGTGATGTACTTTTGTGTTCCTTGGAGGGGGAAGCCATAACACGGCTGTTTTTGTTTGTTGTTATTGTTATCGGCACCAGATCTAGGGGGAATCTGAGCCAGTATCAAGTGGCGCACAGGCAGAAGAATCCTGTGCAACCAATATCTGTGGATCTCAGAGGAAGCGAGTTGTTATGTTACTCCAGCAAGAGCTTGTTTATTCTAACAACATTTTCAATTAGAGAAAAAATAAATAAACAAAATACAATTACAGTATAATTCACATTCAGTCAACATCCGGAGTCTTTACAAGGAAATAAAATAAAACATGCATAAATAAAACAACATAATTACAAAAAATAAAGAAAATCTGATCCAAAGTTAACAACCAAACTGAACACAACATTCCATCTACAACACACTGTAAATACCAATGTTTGCGAGTTATAACCGTTATAGCGGTTATAAAGGAGATTAAGCTCATCACAAAAAATACACCTTTATGAGAAAAAAAACAAACTATGCCAAGCATTTCCCAAACACCAATATCCCAAATACAAATATAACAGTCACTAATTAAGTAATTTAAATAAGTTCAAAATCTCAATGGCTTCAACAAAAATCAAGCTAGGACTGCTATGGTACTGCTAAGCTTATGTTAAGCTTTGACACATGTCAAAGCTTAGTATAAAACTGTCTAAAATTACACAATATATTTAAAGAAGCTGTTTTTATGGGTTTATAAGAGTTGCCTTTTATCCTACCTATGGATCAGAGGAAGCGAGTTATAATGTTACTCCAGCAAGAGCTCGTTTATGCTGAGCTGCGCATGCCCAGAGCCAGAAAACCCGTTCTCCCTGTTTATATATATATATATATATATATATATATATATATATATATATATATAAAATAAATAAAAAATAAAAATAAAAAAAAATAAATAAATAACTGCGTTAATGAAACATGTTGACATGGAGTATTTGCTCTGAATTCTAAAGGCGAAGCCGCTGCGCTATCGGGTGGTCCGAATAAACGGTCCCAACCACGATTTCAACCACCGTGTGTGTCAGATTCCTGTCTCGTTTCCTTCCGACAAAAACCCTTAAGAACACACAACGCAGAGTCCAGGGAACAGCGAGGACTCATTTCGCACGGACAGGGTTACATATATATATATGGGAAAAGAAAGACTAAAAAACGAAGACAGAAGCCAGGACTAATTCTAATTAAAAAATAGGGGGTGTATTTTTTTTAATTTTTTTTTTACTGTTTCTCAACCCACTACATTCTCGTCAAGTATGTTCTGTAAAAAAGATTTATTTTGATTACTTAAAAATTGTGAGACATGGTCTTCCCCCTTTTGTCATGTTGTCCTGCAGGAGAGGAGTTGGAGCAGGCAGCCATAACACAATTGTTTTCTGTTTGTTGTTCTCGTCAGAAATAAATCGAGAAACCATCAGTTTCAAAGAAATCTCGTGTCACGGCCCTGATCATTCAATAAAACCAGCACAACGCAGAAAGGATCCAGTTACTCATTTAACTTCAAAAAACAAATAATGTTTTCAGTCTTGGAGATTTTCCGACATAATAGTTACTGCTTAGGATAACATTCAGTTACCTGCTAAGTAATATTAATATTGGCTATCAATATCGGCCCAAATGTTGAAATCTGTGCATCCCTAATCTTAAGTAGAAAATGGCTTTCGTCTCAGTTTAAATAGTTGAAATACAAACAGGGCAAAAACTTGAAACCAGACAGAAAAACAGAACTATAGAAGAATCAGTGACCATGCTGTGTGTCTCTGAGTCAAAGAGTAACTGGATACATTCAATTCAAAGATAGAAATAGCATCACAGCTTGTAGACTTGAGAAGAGACTAGAAGACACTTCTGAAAACTCGCACAGCAAAAAGAAAATCTCCCGTCTGTCTGCCTCCCCACCCTGATTTGAAACTCAAGCTGCCAACTTTCCTCTGCCACCTGCTTTGAGGTCCAGCATTGCTTATTCTTACTAGTCAGAGGACAAACATCCAGCCCTCTTACTGGTCCACTGGGTGGTTGACGTGGAAACAGCCCGACACGTGAAACTGAATGGATGTATGTACAGTATTTGAGGAGGGATACTTACAGCTGACTCTATGAAACATGTTCTGCCTCAGCAGAACATGCCACACACACACGCACACACACACACACACACACAGAGGAACGGACAGATGTGGGATCAACCCACCAATCACATCAGGGTTAACATCACTCACCCCAACATGAACAGTTAACCTTTCAGTTTCCTTTGACTAAGAAAAAAAACCTACTAAAGGGAATTTAGTTTACAAGATGCCTGGATCAGTTAGTCATGATCGTAATATCGATTTACTAGGCACAAGCACCCACACACACACGCGCGCATGAAAAACGCACACACACATAAATGCTTTCTGCATTTGGCCTCAGAGAGTCTGGCTCAGTGTTATTCTATCATCCCTCTGCAGTGTCACATTTAACTATAAATTTAAACTCCCCAAGTGTTGGGGTTTTATTTAATGCACAATATCTTAAAGTTTAACATAACAAAATAGCTTAGGGGATTATTTTGGTATTCTAAGATGTGTGAAACATCATTTCTGGTTTTTAAGTTGCTGAAATCTCCTGGTGGTGACCCATTCACTTGGATTACGGGTCACCTTGTCTCAGCTTCGGGGAATCCCCTTCGGCTTTTGAAATAGATATGACTGGCTCATCAGAAGATTTGCTGCTTCCTATTATTTACCTTTTTATTCCACTTCAGAAGGTCTAATAGTAGTAAATGTAGTCATTAATTGCGTTTCCATTGACCATGCAGTTGCGCAATTTGACATTTTGAAAATAAATTTAATCATAACGGAAACGGTATTTTCGAAAATTCTTAGTGCTAGAATGAGGTGGGGTTTTTTGTCGTATTGAGGCAAATACCAGGAAGAAGAAGATGACAGGAAGTAGTTGGAGGATTGTGGCATACAATGTTTTTTGATGAACAATCTTATTCATTTTAATTGTGTTTCTTATTTAACAGAAACAAATCCAGCTCCCACCTTACCGGCCACTGTTAGTCGGCTGGCAGAAAGAAGGTTAACACTTAAAAGAATCAAAACATTTCTTGACAGTTATGGTGTGGAAACTGATCTAATCTCTGTTAAGCTAACAGAGAATAGAGTTGCGTAACAAGTTTAGAGCATTTTTTCTAAGCAGTCATCTCTTAGTTGGACCAGCTCAATTAACCAGCTAATTGAGCTGGTTAATCAGCCAGTTGAACTAAATAACCAACTAATATTAGCATCTTATTCTTGTTTGATAACTGGAACAGTAGATAAAGGTTAAATCTAAAAATCTAAATGAACGAGGTGTTTTGAATAATAAACCCTTGAAAAAAACTACCAACATTAAAAGCAGTTTATCATTTATATTCTTAGCTTGCAAACCACAAAATAAGAAAATAACACAAAATGACATCACACACATCAACTTTCAGTTTATTTGTAATTACATTTTTTTAGTAGCAACAATAAAAGCGTCCCTTTGAATTATTATTATTGTTATTATTTACTTTGATTTCAAATCAAAGTTGATTTGGAAATTGACCCCCAGCGGAGCTCTGACCGCAACAAAATAATACATAAATTTCTGACATTGTGAACCATATCTACAACAATGCCTAAAATACATAATAGCACTTTGGCTTATTAAACTGAGGTCTACAGGCTGATGACCTTCATTTAAGTTAGAAGATAAGATAAAAAATATCACAATTATGAAAAGTATGACTTCTATAATAATAAAAGGTAAAAAAATGTGAAGGTAATTTTATTTATATATCACATTTTCTGCAACAAGGCAATACATAGTGCTTTACAGGAATTAAAAGGAAATGCAAACAAAATAACAAACCAAAAGAAAGAGCAAAAGAAGAAAAAGCGAATCCAAAGTAAATAAACTAGGTTCTCCTATTCAGCGTTGCTAGATAAGTATAAGTAAGTATCCTTTGGTCTAAATACTCTAAATTGGTAAAAGTAACGAGTACTCCACAGTTTCTAAGTACAGTAATAACAAAAACTAAGTGTTCCTGTTCTGGGAGAATTCTTTCTGGATTCTAATTTCGTTCTAATTCCTTTTCTGGTTTGCAATAAGAGGAGTCCCTCTACATAATAATCTAAAAATTAATCTAATATTGGTCTAAATAGCGAGTACTCTACAGTTTCTAAAGAAATAAGCTAAAGATTGACTAGCTTATTTCTAATTTGTTTAGAATTAAGAAGATAAAATATAGTCGATTGAACCTTCTGGTAGACTTATAGAGGTACGCAGAAAAATAAAATAAATGAGTATCTGTGTGGCTCTAGTACCGTCAGGTTGAACTGTATTTCATTTAAGACAGTGTGTTCCTACCTGTACTCTCGGTCGGCCTCTCCCTCCGGCTCAGACCCCGGCTGGAGCTGCGTCGGTCCCGGGGGAAGGTGCGTCGACAGCAGGTAGAGATAGACACTTGCAGTCGCCACGATGCCAGTTAGTCCCGCTAAGGAGCGCATGTTGTCCCGTCCAGAGAAACTTTACTGCTGACCGGCAACTTTCAACAACAACTCAGTTTAAGCACAGAGGAAGTACGCCGGTGGACGACAGGTTGACGTGTTCTGGTTCCGTTGGACGGCACCGGCTAAAAGAAGGTGTCACTTTCCGAAAGGCAAGCCGCATATGACGGTTGACATTCTGCCAGTGTTCGGTGCACGGATCGTATAGCAGCCTGGTGAGAGACAGCTTTCTTCAGTACACATGGACATGTTTTTTTTTTCTCTACTTAGCTAGCATATACTATTATCCAAAATATATAGAAATATTTCTTCATTTCTGTGAAATATTAACATATTTTTGAATGCAATGTTAACATGCAATTTAACACAACGACCACTAGAAGGCAGGGTAAATAAACTGTACTTGAATTTCCGTTTTAAAGTGAAACATAGTGATATTTCTACGTCAGTCGTATTTTCATTCGGCCAGTAGCTCTAAGTATGTTTACTGTGGAATTAACATATAATTGATAAATATTAACTTAAGAATTTATAAATGAAATAAAACATATTGCTCACTAACATTTAAACACATGCAGTGCTTTGAAAAAGTATTTGTCCTCTAGGACTCCGTGGCTTAGTTTGCTTTTTGTATTTATTCGGGTTATATTTGTCTAGAATAAAACATGTCTGATGATCTGAAACATTCATCAATATTTGTGCAGTACAGTGGAAATATATCATGGTGAGGGATCATACTTTTATTCTTATGCCACATTTCATGCAGACAGATCGGTAAGAATACGCAGGAACAGTATAGGACTGCTGCGTAATGAAACCATTGAAATAAACAGAGGTGATAAAAGCACAATACATAATAAGATTGAATAATTAAAACAATAAAAGATACAGGACATGTATTTATAAAGTGTGTCACAAAGGTGATACACGTTATAAATACTGTTCAAATACTATATATTAACAATTTTACATTTTATGGTTTAGTGTAAATGCAACGAGGTATTTTTCTCCATTTGTTAGATTCAGTTGTACTTAATTTATTAATTTAAAGATTTATTTAATAAAAATAATAATAATTTCAAGAATACCAAAAATAAATCAAAGGAGAACAAAGACCATTCAGTGTGTCTATTCTCGCGTGATTTCAGTGTCACATGACTAGCCATACATTAGTGACCCTCTCCCAATGTTCATTGCCCTGTGGCAAGCCTTTTTAACATAAATTCAGTTTCGTCTTACGGCTTGCCATAATTGCGCACCGTGTGCCCTCTTTGAAGTGTGGAGTCACTATGCATGAGGGTTTACAAGCGTGCGAAAATGTGAGAATTGGGACAATATATGGCAAGCCGTTTTAACATAAATTAGGTTTTACAGGTGTAACACCGCCCTTACATTCCAGATATCTCTAATTGTTTTGTGACTAGATGTTTTAGCGATTTAAGATATCTCTAATTATATTTCGATTAGACAAAATAACTATTTGAGATATCTCTAATTACATTCTGAGTAGTCGAAATGACGTCAGACTTACCATTGACTTGTGTGGAGACTTTAATTCAAGATATCTACAATGAATTACTATCTGAAATACACATTTCAGATATCTACAATTAAATTACATCTTAAATGTATTTTTGGATAGGAGATATGCAGTTTTGACTAGTGAAAACTAAATTATAGATATCTTAAAATCAAATAATGACTAGGCAAAACTAAATTAAAGATGTCTTGAATTGTAATTTTGACTAGTCAAAATTCCTTTTACGATATCTCTAAATGAATTCGAGATATCTTGAATTACACAGCTTTTCTATTTAAGGTATCTTAAATTGGCATGCCGACTAGTCAGAATGACATTACTGATATCTTGAATTAGTATTCTGTCTAGTCAAAACGTCCCTGACTTACGTAGCAATTTGACAGTTTAATAAAACAATGAAAAATAGAGAAAACGAAAAAAGATGTTTGAAAATTCGCCGCTTTCATGTTGAAAATGGTTTGACAATAGCAATTTTAGCTTTTCAAAGCTGTTTTTAAGTGCATTCGGTTCGTCGGAAATGAATAAACAGGAAATTCTTTGCAGATATCAGAAGCAGTCTTATAGTTTATGAAGTTTTGCTATCTCTGCATTTCCAACATTGTTGAGCTCTTTCTAATTTGTGGCATTTACTGACAATTTTGTGCAGGAAACATAAAATTCTGCAGGCGACTGTTTGGACACCACAAAGAGGTTTCCACGTCATTCTTAATTCAGATATCTAAAATTGTAATTTTGAATAGTCATAATTGTGTTGAAGATATCTTAAATCGTAATTACGGATATGTGTCCCGTCAAATGACAGATTCAGTGATGACATTTGAGATATCTTGAAAGGAATTTTGTCTAGTCAAAATGTAATCTTGAATTATTATTCTTACTAGTCAGAATGTAAATACAGATATCTTAAATTACCATTCTGGATAGTCAAAATGTAGTTTTATCTAGTCAAAATGCATTTTTAGATATCTGGAATGTAATTACGGATAGTCAGACGAAACCGAATTTATGTTAAAACGGCTTGCCATAGTCAGTACGCATACATACAATCCACCTTTTAGCTCAAAACATCACATGCAGCAATGACTTGTGGGTAATGCACTTCGCCAAAGTCCGTAAATATGAAAGTACACTTCGCTGCAGCAAACAGAAAGGGGAGGGGACTATGGCAACAGAAACTGTTGTCACTAAAAATTCCTACAGTTGACACTTTGTACCTCAGTAACAGCTTCCACATTGAAGTGTTAGTACCCTGACCTGGAGCTCAGACAAGGAATGATTGGAAAATCCTGGATGTTGAGTTTATGACCCCCTGTCAGAGGTCAAGACTAGTTTTTGTTGTTTTTCTTATGAAAATGGAGAAGCACTACTTAATACTTTTACAGTGCAAAAGGATTTTCTCCCCATAAAACAGATTTTGGTGGGTAATGTAATTCTGCACAGAGTCTTTGGGTCTTGCAACAATCCAGCTAGTATCTTGTGGTAATTTCACCATAAGGCACTTCCTGTTTGGCACCCCAAAGTTTCTGTTCGTCCTCTCAGATGTTCTAGGGCCGTCCCTCCACCTGCAGGAAGTAGTAGGTTAGAGTGGGCTCGTCCCTGAAGCTCTGCTGGCCTGTCAGGTGGCTCACCACTCCCCCTCGCTGAAGACGAACGGCGTAATGTTTCGCCTCAGTCCGTCTGGTGCAGAAACCTCGCTCCATTAACCAGTCCACCAAGTCACTCCCTCGAAAGACGGACTAGGGCAGGCTTGAGTAGAGGTCATCGTGTCCCTGAAGGGTAGAAATGTATCTGAGATGTTCATCTGGGCACCTCCATGTTGGAAGGAAGTGAAGTTTGGTTGCATGATTCGTCTGGACTGTAATTCCAGTGCAGATTCTGTGACTTGCCATGTCTCTGAGGATTTGTGTTTAAATACTGGGGATGATGGGAAAAGCAATGTCCAATTCCATTCTCCTGCTTCACTTCTCCAAACCTGTGACAATTAGAGGAATGATTCACCTGTCGAAGCATTCACACTCTCCCCTGAGCCACTAGGTGGTGATGAAGAGGAGGGGAGCACAGGAAGCAGCCAAGCAAAGGAAATATGGCAGAGACAGGGAGAGAAAAAGCAAGGAAAGGATTAATTCATCTGAGGTGAAAGGTGAAAGAAGAATAGGAACTTTGTTTGGAGAAAAGCAAAGAGTATCAGCCAAGAGGCATAAAATTGTAGTGCCTGGGTCTTTTCAATAGGGTGGAAAGTTTTCATGTTTAGGCAATATTTATGTTGCTCTGAGGGAAACAAGACAGTAATAGCTACTTGAAGATTCATGCAGCATCACCAGTAAAAAGTCAGAATCAGAAAACTGGAACCACCATAAGATGTTATTTGAAGATCAGTACATTTTGCACTCATTTTCCAAACCTACGATGAAATCTGTTGTAATATATACAGCAAATTCCAAACAACGAAAAATATTTATCCATGCTCCTTGACCTTTTAGACTTTGCTTCACTTCACAACCTCAGACTGAGCAGTTGTGAACTAGACAGTAAATGAAAATAGCCTATTTTTATTATTTAAAAATAATCAAAAACAGAAATATGTCATACATTTGTGTTCAACCCCCTTTACTCTGTTACTGATGAAGAAAATCCATTTAAAACTGTCCAAGTGTTATTAAGTCTTCGAGAAACTGCAGCGGTTCTGAACTCAGGAGGGTGCTAGAGAACATTAGAATGAAGAAGACCAAACAGAACAGCACATAGAGCACAGGTAAAGTCATGAAGAAGTTAAAAACAAGACTATAGTATATCAAACAATATCCCATAACAGGGGGACAATTCCAACAGTTACAAAGACGTGTCTGTCTCCTTAAGCTGACATACTAAATGAGGAAGGCATCAATCAAGAAGCCCTTGGCAACTAATGCCGGGCAAGGCTAATGCTAGCTAACATTAGCTAATGTTATCCAAGGCTAACATTAGCACATCCAAGGATAATGGTAGGACATCCAAGGCTGATGCAAGCATACCCAAGGCATATCCCAACATTCAGTTACTATTGAAAGATTTAGATAGAAGTCTGCCTACAAATACAACTGGCAATCATTGGGAAAACTTGAAAATTGATATCTAGAGATGCTCTCCATCCAGTTAGACTGAGTTATTTTGCATAGTAGAATGGACAAAGATATCCCTGGAATACCTTTAGCTGTAATTACAGCAAAAAGTGTTATTCAAAGTATTGAATGGCTGAATACAAAGGCAAGGCACACTTTTTAGCTTTTTATTTATCATGATACTCAAACAGTTATAGATACTCTTACAACGCACTACAGAATGTGCCAACTGTGTCCCTCATACCTGTGAGTGTGTACTATGTCTTGTACACACTGGTCTTTGTGGTAGCGGACAAACTGGGTACAAGTGAGTCGGACGTCCTCAGGCACAGCAGACGGACTCGAATCCTCTCCGTCTCGATTATGCCACAGGCTGAGAAACCTGGACAACATCATTATTTCAGAACTTTCTCAAAAGACATTACAAAAGCAGTATGAAATCACTGCTGAAATCTCGGCCCACCTCTTCTTGAACGGCACAATGATGAGGTGTCTGTCCAGACCAAATATTCCAAATGAAAGGAAACCCTGGGAAACAGCAAGCAAAAACAAGCACAAGCTGTAGTCTTCCCTACAACAGCACACACATGCATTTCCATTGACTATATAATTGTTCAAATTTGAAATGCGAAAATAAATTTGGCAATTTTGAAAAAAAATAGTTAATTTTTTTTATAAAAGTTTTTGCACGAGGTTGTTTTTTGGCTGCATAGAAATTAGTGTATTTCACCAAACTTCAATGGAAACATTTATCACATCGCACGAGTCACATGATCAGCGACCAGATGATCAATATGAGCAACGACCTGGATGTTACTGGTGGCAAAAACGATAAAGACGACAACAGGAAGTGGTGGGATGATGGTGCGGCGTGCTTTCAATGACTTGTCACTCTAAGCTTATTCACGTGTGATTTTAATTGGATTTCTTTCATTTGGGAAATTGTGTGGGTTTTTTTATATTAGCATAGCATCAACAAAGTTTTGCTGATATCTGTAACAGAAATGGAGCCAGAGATACAAAGCATAGTCACTGAGGTACCTGCCCGTAGTTGGCCACAGCACAGAAAAACTGCAGCTCCAGGTAAAGCCGGCCTGGATCTTTGTTGAACAGCCACCAGAGACAGCTGGACAGATTCTACATGACGAGACAGCAATACGTCTTCCACTGCTTACACTTCATTTATGATCTCCATCCAAGGCAGTGAAGTTAAAATTTGAAGGTGGTTATTAATTTCTCTTTGTGAAACAATCAGTTGCAATCTGTCCTCTTTGCTTCCTGCTTACCGCCAGCAGACTGACGCTGAGCAGCAAACAGAGCAACATGTGTCTCACAGTCTGCTTATCATCGCTGCTCCTAAGGCCTGGAGGTGGCAAATCCAGCGGCTGTTCCAAGTCCGATGATCTCGGCTGCTGTCCGTCGCACAGCGCCCCGCTGTGGCCTGGAGCAGGAAAACAGAAATTAGAATTGAGGTTCCTTCAACCTTCCTTGAAGCTGCAGCATATAACTATTACTAAGAAATTATGTTTTTAACATATTTGTTAAAGCTGTCATCATGTTGTTAATGTGATTAAAAAAGTTACAAATTTTAATATGTTAAAAAATATATTAATCAAGCTCCTTCACCTCCTCCCAGTGCTACAACTGCTACCTTAAGAAATGCACTGCTCCCGGTCAAAAACAGATAGTCAGAAAAAGGAAGGTCAAAGCGCTGTCAATAAACCTCGGGTACACGAGGTAAGGGTCTGAGCAGCATGTACACAAAAGTGATCAACAGCGCTAAGACCCTACTCCTGGCTGTGACTGTGACTGGTTGTTTCTGACCAAGTGGTGTATTTCTGTAGCAAGCGTTGGAAACACTGGGAGAAAAGGGAGGGAGTAAATTTTTTCACAAAGTTTTTGACTCATACCATACTGTCATGACACAGTAAGAGTTTTAACATACATGTAAAAAACATATTATTCATAAAAGTTACATACTGCAGTTTTAATACTACTACTAATAATAATAATAGTGTTGAAATGTTGAATGTGTAAAATTACAGACTGCTATCAGCTGTTTCTTTGAATGTCTATCAGAATTACTAAAATGTCATGCCTAAATATTGACTACGTTACCTTCTAGTTTGTGCATTTATGAAGTCATTACTGTAAGTTTGTTACCTGTGCTCTGTGTGCTGGCCATCATGTCAGGCCTGGTCTGGAGAGGAGAAATGTTGTGGAAATCTCCTCAACGAGACAAGACAAAGGACAAAAAGAGAACAAACTATTAACAACAGAGTAACAGTCACACACTTGTCCATCTGGGGATAAAAACAAGGTCTGAAAGACTCAAATGTCTTAAAATTAAAGAGAGAAACAGAGCAGCACTACATGAATTGATGCCGCAGGTGGGAGAATTTGTGGAGTTGGCCTCCTGCTGCTGCTGTTGTTGATCTTCCAGGTCAGCAGGAGCCCTCAGTTCATCGTTGATGCCGGTGACAGCAGCTCGGCTCAGGGCTTCGTACCCGACCTGCTCCCGGCCCCCCTGGCTCAGACCCATCAGAGAAATGGCACCGAGGGCCAGGCTCACAGCCAGAACCACAGCAGAGCTGATTATCTGAGGCAGAAGGAAATTAAGGGGTTTGTTATTGTCAGGATGACTGAAATAAATAAAAATAACACAATTCTGTTGTTTTCCTATCCAGGTAACAAACCAACGAAATAAAAACATTTTAAACACAGAGTGGTGATGTGCCAATAAAAAAACAAAAAATTGGTGTTTGGCCAGTTCGAAACTCAAAAATACAAAGTTTTTCTGATTTCTAAATGCACCATATTTCCACATTCATCAGTGTTGATGTTGTTACTAGACGAAAAGCAGTCAAAGTTAGCCATTTTCAGCATTATAGAAGCTGAAAGACATCAGAAGTAGAAGTGGGAAGAACTATCCAAAATATCGATTACATCAATACCCAGTTGGTATCGTATCAATACTAGCATGGGAGGATCGATACTTTAGATTCAAATTCACTCTTAAAAATATATTTTATTTTTGGTACTGTAGTTTTCTAACTATCTCATATATTTAAATTTGATTGTTCTCAAATAATGTTTTGCACTTTGTTTATGCAGGAAAACATGTAAACATATGTTTTTTTTTTCTATTGATTATGGGCGTAATGTTAATATGTTATCAAAGAATTTTACTTTACTTGCATATAAAATTTCTCCAAATTTTGTCTGAGGTTATGACAAAAAAGTAAAGGAAAAACCACAACACCTAAAAAGTCTGAAGTTTGATGCTACAAAAGTGAATAAAAAGTATCAGTGATACTGGTGCTGTATATCGGATTTAAACCAAAATATGCAATACTGCACGCCTCTAGTAAGAAGCTCTTTATACAAAACCTTTTCTGCATCATGTAGAGACATGTCTGCAGTTTGTTCAGCTTGCCAGAGAACAGGAAGGCTGAAGAGAAAAGTTGCTGCTTTTTATCCTGGTGAGCTCACAGCAAATCACCTCATCATGTTATATTTCTTAAAGATAAATCAAAAATGGCAGTCAAAGCTGTACAATAACTGGAAATTCAAAATCATTCACACAGTTCTGATCAGAGGATCTCCAATAAAAACGTAAGATTCCAACCTGAGCTCTGCCATAGAAGAAGGCAGAGTCGAGGGTTTCTGTCCTTTCTCCTGATATGAGAAGGACTCCAACCGTCAAAAAGGGAATCCTACAAAAACACACCAAGGACAGAATACTTAAACTAAATTATTCATCTCTTTCCAGTGGAGCGCCAGAGAATTATCTTCAATTCATACAAAGGCACACAGAGTCATCTTCTTCAATCAAGACAGAAATATAAAACCAAATAATAAATAAAAGATCATCTTTTCTCTGTGGATGCCACGGCTCCTGTCCCTGAATTCTCACCCCCAGCCCACAGCCATGAAGAGCCCAGGTCTGAGTCTCAGCAGATCATCTCTGTTAGTCAGAGCCAGACACAGAGGGATTAAACCTGGACACACAAAGAAGCCCAAATGTCTCTGAAGCAAAGAATAAAATGTTTATTTGGCTGCTTTACAGGAACTGATGTTGTTTTAAGCATCTGGCAAATACAAACCTGTCCAGATGTAAGTGCTGTACAGAGATCCGTACAATAGAGTGAAGCTGAGAACTTTACTGAGGTAATTATCTTCTTGTTTCACCAGGAAGTTCCACAGGATCATGCTAATGCACACTAAGAACTGTCACACAAAGCAGAGGGTTAAGGTAGCAGACTGGAGCAAATATGAGCAAATATGCATTATATTAATGCAAACTGTATCAAATTTAACTGACCTGAGCCAGAAAAAGATTCAACACGAATAGATGAGGGAGCTGATTAAATTTCCTGCTAAGCAACATCACAGCGATGGTCCAGACCTGATAGGAACACAAACTGAGTTTCTCTTTTAAAATATCGATGCTGATCCCTGGTAGAGACTCAACTCTTCACTTCTAATACCAAAACTCAAATCTGAGGCTTTGTATCAGTTGATTCAATCCAATACAGAAAAACAGCTGAATGGACTTAAAACATTTGTTAAAGTTATGTTAGAAATGTTTGTAAATGTACAGAATTACAAAATTATCTGCTAACTCTGCACCAGTACAACACATTTAAACCCACCAATAGTGTCACAAGCCAGTGTAACCAGGATAATTTTTCTATATTAGATTCAGTTTATTTTATTTTCCATTTTGTTAGATCTAATTTTATTTATTTTTATTTAAAGGTTAATTAAAATCCTCCTTTCCTTAATTTATTCAACACCAACCAGGCGAGAACAACATTGTTCTCGCGCGGTTTTGACGTCATGTGACGGCTGCACGTCAGCGTCCTAAATTGACAGCTACGGCTTATATGGCTGCTAATCGCACCTTAGGTAGGAAACGCTGTCGGACCCTGACGTACAGGTAGGCTTCTGGTCTGTTCCCAAAGCGGTTTTCAGATATCATGTGCCTCTGTTAACTTGCAGACGTGTGATCAATCAACCGAACGTTGTAAAGATCACGGTTGGTCAAGAGGGAACTGGTGAGTGTTTGCTCGGGAGCTAGCATGCTAGCACTAGCCTCCCCAGCCTGATGTAGTAATACACCGATCTAAAGCGCATTCAAATTGAAATGCTTACCGAAACTACTGTTGTGTAAAAACACTGTTTTGCATAAGTTGCATTTAATTATTATGTAAACTCCTGCAATTATAAGAAAATACATGTACATGTAAATTGATTATTTAGGCCTGTTTACACAGGCCAGGTGTATTGCAGATCCCCCGCTCAAGGAGTGGCTGAAGGGTCTAGGATACAGCAAGGATTGTCTGGCTTCATGCTGACCAGACTGGCGAGCTAACCGTTTAGTGGATCCGGAAATGCAACGCCTATTGTCTGAGGAAACTCTTCCGAACTGGTTGGAGATTCAGCCCAACAAGTCTTCACTGAAGGAACTGGATTATTTTTTTTTTGTTTTTTTTTCCCCTTTCATCATCAACAAATACTGGTTGACTTCCTTGGTTTAAGGAACCCATTTGGACTTTAAAATTGTGGACTAACTTGTATATATTGTAAATATTAATACAACTCACCAATTTTGCACCATCTAGCTGTCTCTGTGTTTTTAAAATTTGCCACCTCCTCCAGCAGACGTACCTAGTTTTAAGAAATCACTTGGATTGACTTTAATTTGGATTATTTCTAATCCTAGAATGTAACTTGGGTTACACCAGTCAAACATGGAAAAAACAACTTTCATTAGTTCAGTCAGTGCAGTTCAGAACAGAACGGTCAATGTAAAATAAATAGTAGAAAAACTGAAACTGTCAAAACAATATGTTGACTACTTTGGTCAAACATGTAAAAAATAAACAGCAACACAACTTTCAAATTAAGAGCAAGAGAAAATAGGAAAATTGATTATAATCTAAAATAAAGAATGACACCACTCAGAACAAAGCACAGAACTAGACTGAATAGATTTGACCTTATGGATTGGGCACATTGTCATTGATACTCAATCTAGATTGTTTTTCAAACATCGAGAATGATCCAGATATTGATATATCGGTGAACCTGAGGGAGCAGCAATGTAGAAGCACCAAAACCACGAACCAGTCCTATGAGGCTGATGATGCTGATGTTGAAGCTGACGTTTTCCAGCTCTGCCACCAGGGGACTAGGGTCCATCAAAGGAATGGTCAACAACCAGGCCGACACGTACATGATCGGAGCCGACAAAAAAGTGCTGATCACCATCCCAGACGTCACCTAGAACATAGAAAAACTGCTTCAAGTCAAAAGATTTCTGGTCACAGTTCAAAGTCTTTTCACTCTGCTAGGCTTTCTAATCGAACAGAGATTTAAAGAGAAGCAGCAAAAGCAAATGATGGATCTGCAGATTCATGCAATTTAGTTGGCATTAAGCCTGTTGCAATAAGCAATTGATCGGTTAATCACATTATGAATTAAAATAAGCTTGATAATTAGAATTCTGATTATTTGAAGGATAATTTTGTTTTCAAACTTCATAAACAATTTTATTTAAAGTTTTGGTTGTGTGTGGTTTTTATTTCCTTTTATTTATTTTTGTTTTAATTTTAATTAAGTTATCTTCCAGTTCAGCATACAATTTAAGTTAATGAGTCTTTGAGGGGGTAAACTTGCATTATTATGCTGTTATCAATACATTACTTGAAAATAATCTCAAAAATATTAAGGTTGTTTATCGGTAAATTGTCCAGCAACATTTGTCTCCATAACAGATCTACTTCAAGATAATAAAAAAGTAGCAATAAATTAATTTATATTAGATTAGATTATATATCAATTAAACAAATTTTATTTGTATAGCACATTTCAGCAGCAAGGCATTTCAAAGTGCTTCACATAATTAAAATAAAAACAGCATGTGACATTGAATAAACAGTGAGAAAGAGAGACATTTTGAAAAAGATTAAAAAAGATAACATTAGAACCCGCACCCCTTTTAGGACTTCAGTTAAATGTCGTTTAACTGAGGCTCTAAGCCTCTGGGACTTTAGTCAAAAACACAGTTTGACAAGGACTCCAACCTCTAGGTTTTTAGTTGAAACGCCGTCATCTGGGACTCTAAACCCCATAGGACTTTAGTTAAACGTCATTTAACAAGGATTCTCACACCCCTAGATATAGATTCGTTGAACTGGGACATTTACTGGGGGCT